GGGAGTATCCAGCTCTTGGGTAGGCGTGAGCTCCTAGCAGAGCAGGGCTGGTATGGAGGGAGGGTAGATGGCAACACGCTTGAAAAGCACGAGATGATGACGTGACGCCAACCAAGAATTTTAAGCTGATTGCTGCTGCCTATTCATGTGAAAAATAGAGAGGGGTTTTTTTTTGCAGACACTGAACTCAAAACGCTAAAGGGGGGCAGGGGGCGGGGGGCAGCTGAAAGGGAATGGGGGAGAGAAGGAATCACTGTATCTAAAATGGATTTCAAGCCGGATTCTCAGCATCATGTTCTATTATTTCTGACAGCGACACAGCAAGCCATGCAGTCAGAACGGTCAGAACCATTATTTATCCCAACCTCATTTAATAATCATCCAGCAGTGAATAGATTAGAGCAGAGAGTTTGGAAACAGGGATTGGCAGCATGAAAAGAATAGGAAATACCTTCTGTGGCTTTTTATGTGGCGCTTTATAAAGCTTCTCCATTTTTTCTAAATCTGCCTCTAACTCAGTCTGGTAGAGGTAGAGATCTTTTTCTAGATCAGTCTGGTTAAAGAAGGAGAAGAAGAATGGGAAAATAATGCTTAGGGTTAGGGGAAACCAAAGGAATGTTAATATTGAAAAAAAAAAAAAGACGAGCCTTTTTAATTGAAAAAAGACAAAGATGGCATGGACAATACACAGAAATTCACTAGTAATTAATCATGTTTCAATCATTACAGAGGAAATAGGTTTAGGCATTTAACATTCAAAATTAAGAGATGCACAGGCCTGCTAGAATCTAATTCTACAAACCATAAAAACTCACCTGTAAAAAAAAAAATAATACTGTAACAATATGCAATATGCTGTTAGTATAATTATCATTGCAAGTCAAGATAGCAAACCCACCACTCAAATTATGGCTGATTATGCTTTAAGAATTGTTTATTAAATCAATTTACTAGCTACTTAGTTGTTAGGCTAATGAGCTCAAGCCCAATTAAAAAAATCACTCACAAGCACACAAAACCCAAGCAATGCTACCAAAAAAACCAAACCAAAACAAAAAACCACACATACATACGCGCTAGATGCTGTAGTACAACATATGTGAGGCACAATTACCTTTCTATCCTCTCTAGTAAGGATAGAGCAATCTCCAGGAGTATAATCCCAAATCTTTTTTGGAGGCTGATGGAAAGCAGAGGAAGGAAATGAGGAAATGAAGATAAGGAAAGACATCACAGAGAATATGGAAACTGGATTAGAACAGAGCGGGAATACAATAGGGGATTTGCATCAACACTGAAAATAAAATAAAAAAAACCAAACGCAACAGAGATAGAAAGAAGGATAAATCTGCTATAGCACAAATACCAAGAGATCACGGGAGGCAAAAGGGAGCATACATGCAGTCTGTGAGGGGCTGTTTTCAGTAGTGTTTGAGGAAATTTTTATTTTTGCAAGGTGCTCTAAGGGATATTGGGCTGTCTAGAGGGAGCCCACAGCTGGTGGTTAAAGCATTCTTAAGACGAAACCAAAACAAAATGAGGAAAAAAACCACACAGTCATAAAAAGCATTTGTTATTCTCATTCTTCTTTTCAAAAGGAAAGGGTAAACCAAGGGCCTTTGATAATGGAGAACCTTTCCCACCCCCGCCAGGCTATGAATACATACCATGTGAACAAATGGCTGAATTTCCATTGGTGGCATTGTGGGGCAATGAGAATGCAGAATTGTTATTTTTTTATTTCACTGGTTTGGGGTCTTGTTTGTGGGGAGTTTTGGTGGAAACAGTGGGACACATGGGAGTTTGAAAACTAGTTATTTAAAATTCATCCTGTAAGCCAAGGCCTGATTTCAAAATAAATTTTTCCTGTTTGGATACGCATATAAAATATCAGGGAGGATTATTCAAAGTGAACGACCTTTGTCCTGACACTCCTATCCCAATAATGCCATGCTAATATCCTCATTTCACCAGATCTGCACCTCTCACTGATAATGCTTAAAGAGACTTTGTTCTTACTTTGTGAAATCCAAAAACATTTGCTCTGTTTCCAAACAAAAAAAACCAACTTCTGTTGGCTGGCAAGCTTAGCATCATCCTACGTGTCCATACTGACTTGCGCGACTAGATTATTAAAGTGCCTCCGAGCCACTGACAGGGAATCTCCCAGTGCCAGTCTAGCGAAGGTGAGACTGAGCTACAATTCTTGGGGCTCGGTCCAAATTCCTTTCTAGGCTGCCTGGATCCATAGTTTGCATCTCTCCCACTTTACATGTGGACAGCCACTGTGGGGATGCAAACACTAAATACCTATTGCTTATCCATCAGATCAGCAGCTGCAGGTGGGTAGATGGTGCTGCAAAGGTTTGAGGTTGGGAGCGAGGATCTGGAGGGAAGGAAGTGACATGCACCCCTTTTTCCAGCCCTTTATGTCTCCATTTGTAGCAAAGAGCTTACTCAGTGCTGTCTCAGGCTGGGAGAAAGTGCCCAGATGTGTGATCCTGCAATCACAGCAGAAGGTGACCAAGCTCTAGACTGACTGAATGGCAAGCATTGTGGATGGGCTCTGCGGAGCTATGGGTCAGGAAGAAGAAAGGAAGGAGCATGTGGAGATTCAGTCTCAGCAGCACACTAAAAAAGCATCCATGCCGCAGAGACTAATCTACCCACCTGTCGACACAGCTGCCCAGAAATGCATCTGGGATGCTGGTCCAGCAAAGCGTGACTTCAGCATCCCTAGGAAGCACACATGCTTTCCTCAATGGGGAAAGTCCCATCCTGATCATTCTGGTCTTTGTAGAACATTCCCCACAGGCTCTCAAGAATCCCATGCTCCCTTTTACCAAGGGTGTTTCCTGCCCACGTCAGAGCTGCAAATGAATTCAGAAATCCAGAGGAAATCATTCCTGTAGAAGGAACACATTATCTCCAGCACTGGGAAAAAAGGCTGGAATACAGAATCTTTGAAAATCCCAGGCACTAACTAGCAAACACCAGCTGAAACTCTCTGGTTAGGCATGAGGCTTCACCACTAGCTGGTCACAAAAATCTGGTCCTCTCACGACCGGAGTGAGCAAAGCTACAAAAAGCTGCTCTTTTGTTTGTGGTAATGAAGCTCAAATGGAGCTTTGCTCGCTATAGAAGTCTGAGACGGCATCCTCAGTTCAAGTGCCAGCACTGTGCACAGCGTACCGCACCCAGGGGCGGGCATAGTTGATCAGAGAGCATGGTTGCCTGGCTTTGGAGCTAGAGCGAGCTGACATGAGGTATCATCTCAAGGCAAGCCGTAAGAAAGCAGCCCTTATAACAGTGCCCTGAGCAAGGTGGGGAACTTGTCACCAGAACAGATGCTCTGCTGCAAGAGACGGATTGCTGGTGTAGCCTGGGGTGCACTCTCAAGGATGCATGACTAAAAGCACAAATGCAAGCTTCTAAGGAACAGATATACACTCACTTCTAGAAAGACTCAAGGGCATAAAGTTTCTCCTTCTCTGACACGTTTTCCATTAACTTACACTACCTCAAAGGACCACAGAGATGACAAAGCTTCATGGACTGCAAGAGCATATGGCTATTAATTACAAAGGAGCAGGAACAAGCAGGTTTCTCCTCACTTTGTGGAAATCTTAAAACCATGACAACTTGTGAAGGGCTAAATCCTTATACTGACATGACTGAAAAGCCTCAGTGATCTCATTTATCTGACTTCTACCACCTAAAAGTTAGGGGGTCCCATCTCAAACACTGTAGAAACTCCATCTTTAGTTTAGGATGGAAGGTCCATAGCTATAAAACAGTTTTCTGTGAGGAAATGAACTGCCCAGCCACTGCATGTGCTTGTTTTTCAGCAAAAATTGCACTATTTCTGTGATGTGATCAGACCGGGCACCCAACCTCAGGCAGCTACATTCTGTGCAGAGGAATTTTGTCACTTTTGTAAGAACAAAGACTAGATTTAAAGAAAACCTGCTCTCTGGTGTCCATGGTTGCCTTTGAAGCCAGTACTGAATCTTAAAACATTTTTCTGGTTTGTTGTACATGCAGGGAAATCTCAGCAGCACTCAAAAATGGTGTGCACAGGCATTTGACAACTGACCTCAAGGAGGAACAACCACTATACTTGGACGGATGCGAGAGGCTGATACTGACCCACTTGTGCACCAAGAGTAGCTTGATAATGAAGTTAATAGTGCCATAAAATACTTTAAAGACACGTTTTTTCCAGTAGCCATGACCGCTGATTCGTTCACTCCATCAAAATGTCCTTTGTCCCACTGAATAATTAAGCTTTGCTTCATCTTTTCCAGAGTGGGAAAACAAGGCTTTTTTTCCCCTCCCACACACATAGCAACACAGCTCCATTTGAAAACAAAGCACACTGTTCTCAGACTCCTTTGGTTTCAGGGAATGGCAAGGGCTATTCAACACAGACTGATGCACACCATTTAGGCAACGGGCAGCTACATGCATAAGGAAATGAGCAGGAAACAGGGTCATGGTCTGTTTATGGATAGCTAGAAATTACCGACCTACAAGCCAAGGCCAGGAATGAGTGATTCTCCTTGACTTCAAGCTACCTATCAGCCATCCTAGATCTTGTTAGGCAGAGGGAAAATAAGGGCTTTGAATAAGGACTTTCAGTAATGAGGACAGGGCACTTCTCAGAACCTTAACAAGAAAAACGCAGTTTGAACTATGGTGTGTGAAAAAATATTGCCTTGTTGATACATACGGCTGGAAGGTGGGGAATGTTTGTAAATGGTTTCAAAATACATAAAGGGGTCACAGATCAGCTGCTTTACATCAGTACCAGGATGATGTTATGAAAAATCACAGTTTTAAATGAGCAAGGCAGCTGTTCCATGTTTAGGGCCTGGCAGAGAGATGTGACAATAATTTAAAAAAAAAAAAAGAAAAAAAAAAAAAGGAGGCAGGTTGACCTCATTGGTCATCGCAGCTATCAAACTTACCGGTTTCCCAAACTCCAATTCCGAAAAGAATTTATACCAAGGTTCATTCTTTAAATCTATCTCTTCTGGGCTTATATCCCGAGTCTAAAGGAGTTGGTGATAGGGGAATGGAAGAAAGAGAAGGATAACATTATGCAAAGAATACACAGAAAGAGACTGTTAGAGATGCAGATCCCATGGTTTCCATTCTAAAATGTAGATATTCAGCCTTATAATTTGGAACTTCCATAGCACCTTTCTCACAAAGGCCACTACTGCTTTGCAAAAATCAGTTAAACCTAATGGCATCATTGTGAGCAACATGAATATGAATGAACTGCATTTTACAGATCAGGAGACTCGCACAGAGAGAGATTATGCAGCTTGTCCAGAGTCACAGGGAGACTCAAGGGAAGAGCTGGGACTCAACCAGTCCCTCAGTCCTACTGTCAGACACTTCCCATGGAGTCCAGTGCTGCACGTACTTTAAACTTCTTTAAAATCTTCGTTTGTTTAAAAAAGAGAGGTTCAGAGAGACCTGAATCAAACACTGCATCTTTAACAGCACATGAATATGTGAGAAACCCTGTTTTATACACTGCAAACAGAGTGAAAGGTGGTTTTCTAAATCAAAGACAACACAAGTCAGAGAGAGCACATCCCTGAAAGATCTCTGAAGGGATGGATAGAGACACAATACTACTTGCTTCTTCACAAATAGATGTTAGAGAATCAGACAAAACTACAACAAAGGAAAATCAGACAGGACAGAAAACAGTACAGTTGAAAAGAAATTCCCTTTTGTTCGTTCTGTTTTGATGAAATAAAAAAACAGTTGAAATAGTTGTAACTGTTTAAAAACACTACTGGTGACATAAGTGAATAAAGTCCACTGCTGAAGGTTATGAGATGCTACTCCCCAAAGACATCCAGTTAACTCTTGCATTTCATTGTACTCAGTCTGAGACATAATGGATCTCAGTGGATTAAAAATGTAAATACATTATGACTGATATGTCAGTGTTATCCCAAGTGCTCCATCAAAACAAGTGATGAGCCACACACATGCACCAATGGCCAACAGAATTTCCTGATACATCCTGTGATGGGGTTACTGAGGCCAGGGGTAGTTCCTGATGGTGCTGGGCTTTGCTAGATGTCCCAGACTCTGCCACAGCCAGTGGGCATCACAACAACAAAAAAAAAGAAAAGAAGAGCACTGTAGGACAAGAGCTCTATAGGACAAGAACTCAGGACTGATGCTGAAAAAGGGGCAATGCTTCAATCTGAAAGGTAAATGGTCACATCATGTTTGATCTCTGATGGCCTGCAGGAAGATCTGGCTATTTCTTAAAGCCAAAATAGAAGCAATGCCTCCATTTTTTTCTTTACTGCACTCTAACTAGAAGTACTCGTCTTGTATATACAACTGTCTTTACATTAAAAAATAACCCCACAGATGTCAACAGGAGGCTCTTCATTGCTCTGAAATGGTTTTAGATTGGGATTCTGATAGTCACAGCTCTGGGTCTGGTTACCAGGAGATGTCCACATATCTCTTGCAGCCTCCTTGAAAGAGCTAGTCACTAACCACCGTATTACTGTTGTATTTAATGAGACTGATGGAGACCATGAAGCTGCTATTTCAAGGCCTTTCTTCTGTGATCTATGGCTTGAAATTAAAGCCCAAAAAATAATACTGTAAGTAACACAGCTAACAGATTCTTGTCTTTGATGAGCTCTGTACAATTTTTCTCAATTATCCTGATGATGCTCCTGTTTGTGGCTTTTAGACTCCGATTCAACAGCTCAGTTATGTACCCACTGAAGTCTACATGTAAACCAGTGCCACTGGTGATGATAAACCTTTTGCAAAGGCTTAAGTACACAGATGAAGCAGGCCTTTTTCCACAAGGTTAAATCTTGGCTGTTTACCATGAGACAAAACTGCCACTTAAGTCAGCAGAAATCTTGCTCCAGGATGGACTGCAGGAATGGAGTTGTAACACCACTTTCGAACAACTACTCACTGGCAGTTCTCTAATTAGCTGAGCCAATGCCCAGTAGGATCAAGAGAGTCATCCATTGCCCATTTCAAGGGACACTAGGGTCATGCTTCTATCAGGAACCACTTTGTTGAAGTCAATGAAGGGACATGAGTGTGAAAAGAAGTTGATTGCAAGATCTTCAAAAAGTGATGGACCTTGTTTGCACTTAGAAGGAAAAAAAAACTCCAGAGTACTAAGGAAAAACATCAGGTCCCAGACCAAACGAGAGATTCTCGCATTTCTATTGTCACTCTTGCATCAAATCCTTGGCAGGTTTTTCAGGAGCATTCCTATACCTGCTCCATGCATGGAATAATGCCTGAGCTGTTAGGGCACAAGTTTACATTTGGATTCTCACATGCAATTAGCACTTCTAATTGAATCCTTCAAGTTAATGACTATATAGAACAATTACATCTTTACGTACCAAACTGGCTACTCCCTAGTAACCTCATTCAGTACTTTCCAGCCCTTTGTGTCACATTTGTACCACTGAAGGACACCTTAACTGAACTGCAGTGATTTATGCAGGACTGGCTGATGAGGTTTAGCACCACCTCTCTGTCCTGCTCCTTGCGCCAAGTGTTCTCAGCCAAGCTTGAAGAATGAGGCTTTTGTATGTCCCTTAGCTGTCACAATTCACAGCATTGCTTCCTACTTCAAACTGAAAATGGTAACAGTTCACTTAATACTCCGGGTTACACACCGGCATAGCTGGGGGGGCAGCTCACCGTCAGTTCTGCCACCCCGGCTGCAGAAGAGATCCAGCCGAGGAAGAAAGCAGCCCAGGGGAGATGGCCATGTCCTCATGCTCCTCAGAGGCATCCCCTGAGGCACATTACAGGCACTCTAAAAATTAGCCGTTTGGTGTTTAAAGCATCAGAGGAGCACAGAAATGGAACCAGGCTGATTTGTTGCATAATTCCTTCAACCCTCCTGCATCTACTAATGCTGTGCCCTAGAAAAAGTACAGCTGGCAAAACAGCTGCTGAACAGGTCACAGTGTCAAACATGGATTAAAAACTAGGGTTAGTGATCCATACTTAACACAGAAAACAACACGTCCAAAAGGAAAGGAGCCTCTCAATCCCCCTGGATCTTGCTTTATAGAGAACAAAATTGTTAGGAAGTTATGCAAAACAGAATATATAGGAAATATGTCACACGAGCACTGCAATATAAGCATAAGGAGTCCTATCAAAATGGAACTGGACAAGCACTTCAGGAGTACTTCACAATCACAGGATAAAGCCACAAACTAGGATAAATCAAACATTACCATCTTTTCATTGTTCAGAACTGAGGACTTTCCTGGCTGATAGTCATAAATGCTCCTGGGCTCTGCACGGTATTTTCTGGTGTCCACCTTCTTGTCTGGAGGCTCCCAGTCGGTCCTGAGGAAGGAAAGATCAATTAACCCAAAACACTGTGGTTTCCGTGGAGACAAGCACTTCCTCTTGACAAGCGCCTTTCACTGTTAATCCTGGTTTAATCAAGGTACTTTTTTTAACCTAGGAAAGACGCCTGCTGCAAGAGGAACAGTTCAGACAGGGCTCTGGGCATATGTTTGTTTATCTACAGCAGGCAGAGTTTGATACAGCTCAGCTTCTGAAACCACTGAAGCAGAAGGGGTTTCCTCCAAGTATTTTCAGTATACTCCCAGACTTCCATATTTTTCCTGGTTGGAAATAGCTTAGTGATGGGCTTCAACTAAGCTCATAAATATAAGCATGTCCAAACTTTGTGCAGAACTCCGCTTAAATCTCTTGCTATTCTTCACTTCAGCCACATCCCTGTTTACATGACCACTACTGCTCTGGATTCTGGGGGCACTGTGGGGTCCAAGAGGGGTTCTCTTCTAAAACATGAACTAATTATCTCAGACTGGTATACCTAAAGATGTCTAAGAACAGCCCATTGATTATTCAAACCACTATAATTTCGTGCAGTGTCCACACTGGCACATTTCAGATAGTAGTAGTTGCAGAGCATTCAGGGTCCATATCCTACAATGTCCACCTCCTCTGAAGAGTAATAATATATTCAAACACTTAATACAGAATAACCAGTGCACCTGAAAAAGCCCAGAAATCAGGTCATTTAAGCTTCTAAACTAATTCTGATCTTGCTCTTGGTATGTTCCCTTTGATGGTCAATGTTGTACGTGGATTCATCCCACCTAGCATTCACCAAAAAAAAAAAGAGGCATCTAACCAAAACTGCTGCTCCAGATTTCCTCCCACTTACCCTACTGACCTGATTTAGGATAGGAACAATCCACTGAGTTGCCCAAACTCTCCACTGGCTTAGGAGAGACAGAGACAATCAATTTAAATCAAATTTAATTTTTAAAATTTTTTTTAAAGGGAAGACAACAGCCAAAATGACTGGCCTATAGTGCACAAATTTCAACAAGGTTGATGTTTACTATCTAGGATAAACTTGATTGATTAAGATTCTAACCTCAGAGAAACTTGGTGAACCCTTTTTTGTCACTAAATAATAGGAAGCACTAATTATTGTAATACTTTCACTTGCAAGAGTTTTCTCAAAGGGCCAATGTACTATGCCTTTAGTTCCTGCGTAAGGAAGACATGTTCTATCAGCAAACTTTGTCTCCTGATCCAGTGTCCCGAGATGTTCACTGAATGAGCAATCTCAAATTATGGCTTTGCTCACTTACAGCTGCAAGTGAAGAACATTAAGGACATGTGGAAGTTGGTGAGGGAGGGAGGAGCATTTTTTGCAGGAAATACTAATTGTTCGTTCTGCTTTCCTTTCCTTTGGTAAATGCACTCATTGCTGTTACAAAGATGTTCAAAATACATGGTAATAAACAAAGGAGAGAAGTCACTTGAAAGATCAAAAATGACACCACTAACTAGAACCTACTTCCAATAAAGTTCCTATGGGTGGGACTCCTGAGAGACACAAAATGTAACAAAACTTTTACCAAAGCTCAACATGAATCCAAATTTTGCTTATCCACAATCATTGCTACTTGCTTGTATTCTTAGGGAACTTTACAGTGTCCCTCTGTGGTAGGCACTGTATCGGCACGATACCCAGGGAAACACTCCTCACCCACAGGCAGGAAACTATGCAACTGTGTGATGGCTGGTAAAAAAATGACAGACAAAATGGGGAACTGGGCTGTCACAATGGAGGAGTTCACCACTGCCTACTAGAATAGTCAGAGTCAAAGCTACACTGCCACTTGCCCAAAAAGTTTCACTGAAGTTGTGGACCTAAAGCTTCCACCTTAGATCCCTTCCCATTCACAGCTTTCAGACATTATTCCAGTACTGATCCAAACATATCTTAGTTTGGGTCACCTTTCTGGGCTTGATCTCAGCGATGAAGTACGGTTTGGTAGCGGCAAAGTGGCAGACCTTTTAACAACCTTCTCTGAATCGATATTGTCCATCTCACTCTTGGAGCGGGGAACTGAAAGCTGGGTTCTGCCTGTGGGATAAGACAAACATAGGAATATTGGTGAACTGGATAGGAGGCAAATAAATACATATGTTACATGCTCTTTCTGTCTGACAGATTACACATGAAACATGAATCACTTACTGTCCTCCGAATAGGAATAACGGGGAGAGTATGAATCAGAATCTTCATCTGAAAGACAAAAGCATTTTGCAAGTGAGCTGAAAAAGCCACAGAGAAGCAGCACCAGAGACCCTTTTCGTTTCTTCTACTAATACACTGGCCATAATTTGAGTGATATGCTCAATACTTACCACAGGGAGAGGATCCTAAAAAAGAAAATCCCAAGGAAGTTTGAATTCCATTTAAAAATAATTCCTAGATTAGATATAAATATTAATGTACTACTTCAGCTAATACCTTTCTCCAGGCTCTCAGAGCACTTTAGAAAACAATCACTTTTTATCATAAAACTCCTCTACAGCAAGGGTTATTAGATCCACTTTATCAAAGCTGAAAGACAAATTGAGGACCTAAAAGCTGTACTATATGCCTAAAATAACTCATTAGGTGCTAGACACAGTAATAGAGCTGAGGAGCCCTGCTCTCAGTCACAGATGGTAATCACTGGGACATCTTTCTTGTATTAACTTGCACACCAAGATAAAGTATGTTCACTGAGTCAAATTATCTTTTAAGCACAGATAACATTCCTAGCACGAGACACACATGTACACTTGCACCAAGAGACTGCCCTTGTTCTGAAGAGCTTACTTTTTAAATAGGACAGACATGTCTATAGCATGCAATAGAGATATCCAGTCAGGTCTGTGAGAGCCAGCAATGACATCAGTGTAACTAAGTGGTATGGTCTGGCTGCCAGGCTGAACAACTTTCTCTCTTTGATAGGGAAAGCATTGCAACGCACCACCACAGCAATGTCATTCCCAGGAAACAACTGCTGCCTTGGCCCATGGAACCACATACTGCCTTATTCACAGGTAACATGGTACTGTAGTGTGCAAGGCAGATAGGATGCACTCAGAATAAAGGTTGGTGGATTGCAGCATTACCTCCCCCTACTCTACAGGTGATGGCCAGAGAGACTTTGACTTAATCAAAAACCTAGTGGTATCTATCAGGTATCCACTGCCCTCAAGAGGCTTGGGAATGAACCCTCAGTGAATTGCAGGGAGTAGCAGGGGGAGTTGGGATCAGACCTGCTGAGGGTTCAGGCTCGGAGGGATGTATACATGAGACATTTACAGGACTTCCAAGGCAAAATGCAGGAAAGTACAATGCAGTGACTGCAAAGAGAACCGTAAGCCAAGAATCCACTAAAAGTGGCAGAAAGAAAAAGACAGAAAACCAAAAATAAATGGAGGCAGAATAAACTAGATAAGAAAATACTAAAAATGTTTTTATGTGAATTTAGTGATGCCAATCAACAGACTGAAACTATTTCCAGCTCTTCTCTCAAGGATGACATCAATCAGCTGCTACAGCCAATCTCATCTGCTGGCAAAAACCAATCTGGCTAACACAGCTGACCTGAAATTGCACTCAAGGCTTAATCTAGCCTTTCACGAAGGCTCAAAGTCATCTTAACTTTTAGCCTCTCTGCTGAGTTCTCTTGGTGAATGAATTAGAAGGTTTAAGTTCCAAACAGATGGTTATTGACTCTGGTGTGTTTATCGTAACCTTCAGGTTAAAAAACAGCGAAGGTCAATTTTCAGGCCGCTGCCCACATTTTAAACCTAAATGATAGAAAACAAATATTTATTTAATGTTATTACACAGAATGGTTGACAAAACTGACTGGTATTCCTTTATAAAAGTTAGGTTTCTTCAGACAGCAAAATACTTGGTAAATCACAAAACTCTCAGTCCCTACAAGTAGATGAACAAATATCTAAAACTATCTTCACAGCTACTCACCTCTCATGGTCTTATTCAGTGCTGGTGATCAATGAAAAATTTTATTTACTTGAAGAGAAATATCAATATTCATTATATCTCATCATTCAGACAGGAAAAACATATAACAAAAATTTCTCTTCAGGTAAGTACTATTTTCCAATTGTTAATAATCTAGTATCTATAATAATAAGGAGGTAAGATACATTTTGTCTCTTCGAGGATCTTATGAAGGAGAGTGTCTGTATTTCTCCCCTTTTTACAGCAAGGAATACTGAAACACAGAAACCTGGAATGACTTGATAAAGATTAAAGAGTAAATCCAAGATGAGTATTAATGCAAGATCTCCTGGCTCTCAGAGCTGAACTCTACCTTCGGGACTTAATGAAGCAGGGTATCACTAGTTTGTAGTTCCAAAATCTGATTCCTTTAGCAAGAAGAGGATGTTCCCCTGTAGTTCCTAGAGAATCTGCAGGGTGGGTGTTTTCTTTTTTAAGGGTTGGCTACATTCTCTCTGTTTCTAGAGACACTAAAGGTATTTTAGAAGGGAGCCCAAACCTTGATGTTTCTAGGAAATCCTATGCATCAATCCAAAGCAAAAAACTGACAATGATTACATGAAATTGAGGCTTCAACCCATCTCAGTGTATAAACTCTCTGCCATTGAATACAAAACTTCAAAATGTTTTCTAAACATGAAACATACACTCCAACCCACCCACATGATCAGATATTCTGGATTCCCTATCAAGGAAATAATCCAAGCAAATATTAGAGGAACATTTCCCAGAGTATTGAGAATAAAAAGCAGGTGTTTGGGCCAATAAAATTTTAACTACCTAAACCAGTAAATTACTTTCAGATGCACATTTGTAAGTGCATAGGGGACATTTATAGGAAACCAGACTCGATATATTATCATCACTGGTTTTGAAAACTATGTTACTTCAAACAAGAGTAAAATGAATTTTCAAACTTTGTTATGAACAAGAAAATTGAATCTCTGTAAAGCTCCTTTATCAATTAGTTGCTGAGACTCTTTACTTCTCTCATCCATACTCACGTGCCATTCTGCCAAAGAAAAAATTTACACGGCATTATGACTGCAAGACAGGACTCTTTACCTACAGGTTTCATCAAGAAATGAGCAAATATCCTGAATACCTGCATGACATTAGTCCGCATTCATTTTAACAGTAAAATGCACCTTAAATCTCCTAGTACCCTTTGAGCATATCAGCTAGAACCTATGTTTTATGCTTTCTTCTTACACAGTACCCACCAGACCTTTGACATAAACATTGAATGAAATGGTTAATTAATAGTCTCACCAGGGTTGGCCTGAGGCACAGGCTAAGTAGGCAAGTTCTTGAATTGCAGGATCTAAAGTGACACCAGAGCAAGCCAAGAAGGCTGTCACCAACAATTTCCCAATCAGAAAATGTCCATATATCCAATGCATGCAGAGGATTCCAGTGTTTCTCATATATAAGCATTTTCATGCATATGCACACAGTTACACGATTATCACTGCAATAGATGCTATTTCACCATCCCTGAAACATGACTGCGAGGGATTCCAGTGTGTACATGAAGTTTAAAGGAATGTGCTGAGCACATAAACAGGATAAAGACAGTGTTATTTCAAGTTGCAAGATGTGCTGATGAGACTGTCAAACTCTGTCCTTGCCTAGATATGCCAAGTGCACCTAAGGCCAGTCCTGAACCTACATTACCAAGTTACATTTATTTTCAAAAACTACATTGAGGGACTGATCCAAAACCCACTGAAGCAAGCAGCCTTTTTACCAACAGACTTCAGTGGCATTTTGGGTCTGGCCCTAAAAATGTGTTAATATTCAAAACCAGTAGTAAAGAATTAAAGGAATGTGTTGGTCTGAAAAGGGGAGGGAAATCTCAGTTAAACCACATCTTTACGTGTAAGTCAGCGTTCTAGGCATGTTAAATAATCACTGCACGCACATGGCTAAATACAACCGATAAGCGCATAAAACCAAGCCAACCCCAAGTCTGTAGCATTAGTCAAATACTAGTTACAAAGCCAGAGGAGCACTGCAAAGCCAAAAAGGCATCATACAGTCAAGGCAATGCTTAGAGTGCAGCAAATCATGATGAGGCAGCACAATGCTCAGCTACTAGAAAAAAATCCAGGAAGAAAATAAAAGGATAAGGCAGCATTTGTGCAGAAAAAAATATATGGTCCTTTATTATTACCTTCAGAGATAGGACTAGGAGTAGACGCAGGAAACTGGTATGTAGGAGAATAAGGATTGGCTTCTGCAGCAGAGAAAAGCACTGGATTTTGAGACTATCCACAGTGAAGTGGAGATTCTGCTTCATTCCCCGATTTCCTATCACCACCTGACTTTATTGCCTACTTTAATAATACTAGAGTAAATGGCATCATACTTAAAGATTAATGGATTAGCAAAGATTTAGTTATTTTAGGCATCATACAAGAAGGTATACTGGGCATAACTGAATTTCCAGCCAGTGTAACACATGGGTAACGGAAATCTAGGACCTGAATCTAGTTACTATTAGGGTGCTATAGTACAGTTAACTCCAAGCACAAGACAACAGATACTCTGACTAAACTTCTGGTACCTTCAGTTTTTTGCTGGATTTCAGGAAGTTCAGGAAATATGTAGGTAGGGCAATAAGGGTTTTCTTCAGGAGTGTCTAAGGAGAGGAACATGATTTGCAAAAAAGAACAGAGAGGACAGATTTAAAGGGGAAGAAGGGCAAGACAAGAATCCATACAAGCTGACTGCAGAACAGCCCCTCTTGTGCTGATGTTCTAGCATGGCACAACCTAGACGGCCTCTTTGCTCACTGCTGCCTTGTGAGAGATGTTGGAAAATGAAGGGACTGAATTCATTCTCCTCCTTCAGAAGCATGGGCTCTGGCTGAGCTGAAGAATCGTTGTTAGGAGCACTGGGATTAGGAAACAGTTCAACTCTTTCTCATTCCATTCAATACAACACAGTGTCTATGTATGCATAAAGCTCATCATGACAACACCTGCAGTGGCAAATACAGCTCCAGTTTTGCATGCTCTCTGTTTTATTACATAAGCACAGTGGCGAATTGCATTTGCCTGCATGTCAGGCTGTTCAGAGGCTTGTTTGCAAACGCTACTGCAGCCATTTCTCACACAGAATGAACATGAATGTATCAGCAGGCAGGCACAGACGTGCCCCGAAGTAGGGGATCCCTTGAGAGTGCACCACTACGAAGTTTGCAAGCGCTCTCTGCAATTTTAGGTTTTGAAAGGAGAAAATCTGAGGTTTTGAAAAAGCAGGGTTCAGGTTCAGAGTTCACCAAAAATCAATGGAAACCTTTCCACTGGTTCCAGTGAGCTTCAAATCAAGCTTCGTTATTTAGGTGCTAAAGCTTTACAGTGTAAAAAGTTTTCTCTTATGCGCAGAGCAGTTTCAGTGATAACCTACTGTCCGTTAAAAGTGGGGGGTGGGGTTAGCTGCTAAAACTGGAGTTCAGGGATCTATTTTCTCTAAGTATGGAATTATTAGCAGCTTTCTGATCTCAGGTAGTACTCTTTATTTCATGAGGACACTGCAGTTCATCCTTCACAACAACTCAGACCTTTCTTTGGACTTCACTGTTCTCTCACCTTTGACTTCAGAGATTTCAAAGACATTGGCTGTGTTCTGTGGTGCAAACACTAGTTAACATTAAACACTTTTATTTAACATCCAGTACAATTCTTCACGTAAATGAAATTAAATGTTATCAAGGTGGTCTTTTAAAGTAAATTAAAAAATGTCTGTGTTACAGTACCTCTATTTAGCTTGTGGATCTGTTTGAACATTGTCTTGTACCAGTCCTTTGATCTGTCTGTATTCTACAGGGAAAATAAATATACACATAAATAATCACAACCACGAATTCTACCAGTCTTCCAAAGTTCTTACAAATCTTCAGCAATGAAAAATGTTTACACTCTGCTATTTGAAGACTACATGAAATTAATACTTTGAAATATGAGTGATTTAACTCAGATATATAATCTCCTATGTAATGAAGCTACAGGCTTCACTCAAGTTACTAATAACGTATAAGCTTTGGAGGGGTAGGCTGTAACCTATGCAGAATGGCAGATTTTGTGGGATGTTTTGCATGATTTGGATTTGACATCTAAAAGTAGACACCTGGCCTATTTTAGTCATACGTACTGATTTCCTAAGTATTCAATGGACAGTTAGAAACATTTAGTGTTCAAGTCACTCCAGACACTAGTTGTAAGAATAGGTTAAGAATTCTTTTCATGATCATTTCCCCTGAACACTGAATGAACTTCAACATGTTCACAAGAGGTATCTGTCTTTAAATGAGACAAAACTCTCCCTTAGCTGCTATCTGTGAATGAAACAGAAGAGTAGAAAACAGTATTCTCAAATATGATGAAAAGAGAGCTTAATTTTTTTCCCCCCAAGGCAGCTAAAAGAGGTCACTGATAGCAAATGGAAGTGTTTTAATAAGATACATTGGGAACTAGAATTCTATCTCTGCTTACATATCTGTATCCTCTAGAGATTTAGTAAATTCCCTGTGTCCTAAGGTAGGCAGAACCTGGCACGGGTTTTGTGTGCATCAACCACATGTTCAATGATGTCTTACCCTCAGAGGAATGCCAATATCATCGACGGAGGTGTCAGCCATGTGCAGAGGGCTCTTGACAATGCTTCTCTTCTCCTCCATTGCCCTCTTCTCTCTTGGCACTGTCTCCTGAACCGGCTTGTCCCGTGTGAGTGCTGAATCAACTTTATCAGAAACTAGTCTGTCTGGCACTGAATCTGGAAATGACAATGGGGAATTCTTACCTCATCAGAGCTTTTCACCGCATCACCATATTCCACTCTTTTAGGACAAAAATACCAGCAAGTGGTTGATGAGACAGACTGTGTCACTGCTAGCTGTGGTTGGCATGTGGACTCAAGGAAATCTACCAAGAAAATGTCTGATGCCAGCAAAAGTAGGCTAGCATCTCTCAGGTAGCTACCTTCAGACAACTCACGACAGTCTCCGCTGTCATGGAAGGCAACAAAAAATTTAGGTTTCAACGACTGTTTGGGTGTTGGTTTTTTGTGTCTTTTTGATAATTAATGACTCTGCAATCTCATTCTTCATCAAAAAGCATCAGTGACAGAGTTGCCTAGACATCTGCTGCTGCTGCTGCTTTCAGTCTAATAGAGCATCCCATGTGGTAGTGGGGCAGTAGTTCTTAACAGCTTGCACTCACTTGCCTGACAACCCCATTCGTTACAGTCACTGTATGATGCTTCCAATTTATCTCTGTATCCTAACCAGAGTTTGCAAACAACAAACTCCACTGTTGTTTACACATACATATGATTCCTCTTATACATGAGTCTGCATAAATATGGGGGGAAACAACTAATTGCTCCAGACTGCCTTGCTTCCACCTGGAATTTCTCAACACTGCCCGACTGACACCCAACATGTAGCAGCAGGTACCACCACCACCAGCCAGGGAATCAAGGGAGCCCAGGTTGCTCTGAAGGCCTATTATGCTCTGGAGAGCTGCAGCACAGCAACACTTAGGTGCTGCCAAGGACTTTTTCTGTGTGGATCTTCTGGAGAGGAAACATCTGTGATTTTACAGTCTGCCTCATCAAGACTTTGCTGAGTCCTATCCTCTTTATATCACTGCATGCATTGAAGAGAGAGAGACAGAGATGTTTATTCACATGCACATCACCATACTGCCCAAAGCTATTAAATGTGCAGAAATCTGAAAAGGCCAGTTAGCAGAGGAAAGGCTCGTGCATAAGAAAGCATCAGTCTGTTGGTACCTCGAGCAAACACAATTCTGCCCTGCAAAACTCAGTATGTGAAGGATTTGTGTTTGAGTGGTTGGTTTGAAATTACCATCAAACTTTAAGTCTTTCTCCTCTTTAAGAAAAAATGAAATAATGTTTATAAATGTTCAAAATTGGGCAAAGCATCTATTAAATCCCTGTTTAGCGTTTTCATCCAATTTCGCCTCCCTGTGAATGTGTGTGCACTATCTTTTGGTCCTTTTGGGTCCCTGGTGTACAGGCCTCCCCGTTTTGTAGAAAGTATGTGGTTCACTTCCATTACTAAGCTCCTTACTAACCCTCCAGGAACAGAGGGTTAGTATGGAAAGAGCAACAGAAATTGGACCATTCTTCCATGAGCTGGAAGACCAAAAGGAAGCAGGTTTTTATATGTGGATGAGGATGTGGAATGGATGCAAACTTTAGGAAAGGTCACGGCTTTCCTCCGTTGCTTATCACTGTCACTGCTGATGTTACAAGTCTTGAGCTTCTGGTCTAAAATAGTCAACATTTTCTGCAAGCTAAAGAATTCAATGCCAGAGAAGGTTCACAAAGTCTTTCTCTAACAGGACTGGTAAATATATATTATTTCTCTTTGATTCCCTAAATCCTGGCACTGGGAAAGTGGTTGGCTGTTTGCCAGGTAGACCCCATCTGAAACTACCATGATAATATTCAAAATACCTAATACAGATGTAAACAACAGGGTAAGTGTATCACAACCTGATTTCCCATTGCCACAGCCATGATCTAAGCAAAATCTTTATTTTAACAAAACCAAAACCCACCGTTTGGTCTGTGCCAGCCATCTCCTAACCATGAATTCACATCTTATAATATTATAACATGAAGTTGGGGAACTATCTAGCATGGCACAGCCAAGGGAAAAATCTACCAGCCAGTTAAAAGTATTTTGAAGGAGACTTCAAAAGTATTTTTTGGAGTGCATTTAGAACTGCTTGAATGTGCTACACTGACAACCCTGGAGACAGGAAAGGCCCATGTGACAGCACAAGTCATATTAGGGCAAGCCCTCCCTGTGCACCCTGCCGGGTAAGTCCTCCCTAGGTCCATAGGACTCAACCAAGAAGACCAGCTTAACTGCTGCCCAGTTTGGCTGCTCAGCTGATACGTGCTGCCCAGGTGTCTTTGCAGAAGGAGGAACTAAAGCAGACATCTTTCATCACAGAATTCCTACAACACCCTATAACTTGGAGAATAGCAGCTAAACTTCACACTGACTTATTTGCCGTTCAGCTCCAATGATTTCAAAGGAGTTTATGGATATATATATCCATAAACAATAGCTCTGAGGTATTTAAAAATCAGGGAACCAAACCTGGCGCCTAACCTCCCAGATAACCACATTGCACTGGTCAGCACACTCTCCACAGCACCTGAGCCAGCCTTTTGCAAGAGCAGCAGCAACATCTGGGGTTGCACAGCAAGAGTTTTACTGCTGTGACCACTGGGACATAAAAAGCAGGGGGAGAGGCGGCAGCCAGCAGCTCTGTGTGGCTGCTTTGGCACACCGAGAGCAGGTGCAGACCCAGCCATGCCACAACGACCGAGGATCATTCGGGCTGTAACAAACCACTCGGTGGCTATCTCTAGTTCAGAAAACAATGAGTTCCTAATAATGAAGGGAAACACCTTGTGAAAGGGAAATCCAACAGGAAACCTCTGGACTTGCAGGCAAGTGTTAACTCACCCAAGCGATGTTCAACGAGACAACACCTAGGCTAAGGGAAGGAGGTGAGAGAAACGGGTGTAAGCTGTTACACAGCCTGTCACCTCAGCAGAGCAGCAGCAGAGAGGAGGAATAGGCTGGTGTTGCAGCCAAAGGAACCTGGTGGAAGAAGTGGGACCGGGTCAGCAGCTGCATCATGGGCAGATGCTGTCCTCAAGGGACATGCACCGCTTAGTCCAGGGCCCACGCAGCAGATCAAGTGCACACAGTATTGGCTTCCCTGTGTTTCTAGCTGTGATATTTAAAGTGCTTAGGCACACCCTGTGACTCTCCTCTTTCCCACTTCTCCATTTACCCCACCATGGCCATAATCAAACAATAATAATATGAGTAGTGGTGTGTAAACTGCTGTTCCTATAATGCCCACTGCACGCTGGGCTACTTCTATTTAGGGTGTGGGAGGGAAAGATAACCAGGAAAACAACTTATTCTTCTTTCAAGGAGACACTCACCCCTGTTGCAAGAGCAGAAAGCTGCCCCAGGAGAGGAGGTTGGCAGCACACGTGCACACTACAATTTTATCATGTGTTTCTTGACATGTGGCACAAACACTTCTACTCTTGGAGTCATGTAAACACTCAATTTTTGTTTCTCTTCCTCCCTCCTCACCACAAACAAGACCAGCTTTTATGGCTGTAGAGAAACTTGAGAATATTCCCAAAAATGGAATAAACCTAAAGGCTCAAAACGCAGACCCAAAAGTCAACTAGAACAATCAAACCGTAGGTACACCTTGTGACTTATGAGGAACAGACGGGTAATTTAGGGTTTTGGTATAGTAACACGTGGCCACACAGGTCGTATTTGGAGAAAAGACTGAAATCAAACATTCGGTGACCTGGACTAAGCCAGGACAAATATTTATACTAATTCCTTTGCAGTTCCTGGGAAGTGTGTTTGCTAAAGGTACTCTAAGCTAACAAAGCAGCAGCTTTGCTCCATTAGAGGCAGCAGCTGGGGGGTAGCAGACCTTTCACATCATACCTGCCAGGCTACTAAGCCTTTTTTGCTGTTCTGTGGTAGAGGAAGAAACAAAACAAAACAAAAAAATTCAGAACAAATGGGTGAGACATAAACAGCAAGTGCTCTGGTGCTGCATTTCTGACAGGCAAGAAATACGCTGTAGACAGAACAGCAGCAGCTGCTGGAGAGAATCTATTTTCAAATACCCTGCCAAAGTGACAGCCCACAGTCCCTTCTCCACACAGTAGCTTCGTGGAATAATGTAAATCTCATGATGCAGTGACCGACACATTTGCAAAGAACTTTTTTTTTTCCCCCACATAACATCAGAGAATGAAAAAAGTTGGACAGGAGACAATTTGAAAAACAGTAAAAGACTCACAGAGCCAAACAACTTGACAACTAACTCTATTACCATTAGCATGGAGTACATTTTGAAACAATAATGCTGTAACATTTCAAAGGGATACAGGAAAAGACTGAGTCACTGTTGGTGCTAGCTGAATTTCATCACTTAATACCAAGCCACAGATTCAGCAATGTGCACACAGACACGGCTCAGTAAGGCTTTGATTCTCAGAATGGTCCCCTTGGTTTACAGCTTTCCATTACTGAGTTCCCAGACTGGAGCATTTGTGGTATCTTCCAGCATGTTTGACCACTGTGAAGTCGATGCTCACAGCTGCTTTCTAAAGGGATGCCCATGCGACTTGCCCAAGTCAAGGCTAGGAATAAGCCAAGAATTCTTTAGTGCTCTGTTCTCTGCTCTTTCTACTCGCTAGCGATTGACACTTTCATTTAAAGCATGAAAGCCATTTGAAAAGAATAAGCTATTTTACTGACATATAAGCACTCTGGATAAGCTCATACTATTAATACAAAGATTTTGAAACTTTAATATATTAATCACATCTGTTACAGATTCATAATAAACCGTGCCATGCAATGCCTGCTGAGGAAGTAACTGTGCTTTGGGGTGGCGTGGGACACTTACCAAGCAAGACCACAGTAGGTAGCAACCTTCCAGGTGTATGCTGTTCACTAGCAAAACCCACCTTCACTAGACACTTAAGTGGATCATCTCAGCAAGGAAGACTGATATTTCTCCTCACTAAGTGCAGCTCCCTCACCAATACCTCTGAACTTTGTTCTTTAAGCCCAGCACTTCTGCTCTGCTAACCACCGATGGCAAGCTGCTTGTGTGCATTATTATGCTCACATGGTAACTGCCAACATATGAAACAAACCTCCACGTGCAGTGGGGAAAAGGAAAGGTTAGCAATCTGAACTGAGAAGTAGACCAGAGCCACTGGCTGCAGGGTTCACTCTTCCAAACTGCCCACCAGGAATGGCCTGGTGTACTATGAGAAAGGAGAAAAGATGCAAGGGAGGATGGTCTCAGCTTCGGCCATCACCTCCGCTGGGGAGAACTGTATTCAATCACTGAGGTGTTCTGACAAAAACAAGCGGTTTAGAGTCGATGCTTGAGAGCTCTTTCCTATCACTTCTTCCACAGGGGGAGAATATCATGGATGAATAGACTTTTCCATGAAGAAAAAATGAAGAGGAGGTTTTCTTTTTACTTATGTCTCTGAGTAGGAAAGAGAGCTGCTGATGGATAGAAATGGAAGGAGCAGGTGTCTGCTATTTCACCCTCCTGCCAGACCACAGCCAGCTTGTAGCCCCAGGCACACACCAGCTAACTGAGGCTTTCACCCTTATCTTGTGTTCTGGGACTTAAGCAAAGGCCAAAAACTTTTAGGCTTCTCGAAGAAAGGGTCAAGCAGAAGAACAAAACTGCTGGCAACCGCGAAGGAAGGATTATAGGTGCCTTCAGAGTTCCCAGAGGAGGGAGCACTTGAGGAGACTAAGACTTGAAATCAGTAACAAAAGAGGAAGAGGGAACAAGTATTTGAGTATGTTTAGTGTGAAATAAAGGTGTCACAAAGAAAATTAATCAAGACACCAACAGGTATCAAGGGAAGAAATTCTTACCTTGGTGCTAGGAATGAACACCATGAATGTTAGAAGATCTGAAATTAATTGTTTATAAGCATAAACCTTATTCAGTTGGTATTACTGAAATCCAGTAGAAAAAATGCTGACATCTCTCATCACAACTTACGGAGTAAGATCAAGCAGACAAAAAAGGACATAGTGTAGTTTCTGTGCTTCAAATGCCATTACCTGTTTCTAAGTGTCTGATAGCTCCAAATAAAAGGGTCTTATGTGCTCACACATTAATGAACTAGCAGATAAAGCATAAAATAGGACAGTAGGTGATGTCTGCTAGAGCAGTCACTCCAGAGGATAAGATAACCAGCTCCTTAAAACGCAATCAATAATCCACTGAGGAGAAAGAAAGCCACATTATCCATCTGGAAGACTAACTACTGGAGATGTGAGACTGTCAGCATTAGAATGACCTTGAAATTTCTAATTCAGAGGGTATTTCATGGTACACAAGAGGAATTTATATTAAACCTCAGGTTGACATGAAGGAATTGATTTCAGCACAAAACATAATTAACTATTCCGGGAAGGTGGATCATAATCTAGTAACAATTTGTTACATGCCATGAGACCAAACCAGTTTTGAATAGATAAGGTCCATAAAGATTAAACCAAATATGAATCATGTCAGCCAGGACAAAAATGTAACAGATAACTAAAATCTGAGAACCATTTAAAAACACTAAGTTAGCAAAAAGAAATTTTAATGCTGTGCTGGGATAAAGCCTAGATAGCAATGGAAGCATAAGCGACTGTAAGAAACCCTCAACACATAAAAAAGATGGTAAATTAAGAAAATTTATACCTATGAGTAGGTAACATACGCTGACAAGTGAAAGAAAATGACAATGAAAGAAAAAGAATTAACAAAATGTCTCAGAAACTAAGAGGTAGGTATTGAGGTAGATGAAGAATAAACAGAAACACAGCAATGATCTTGTTCTTTTACAAAATAGGCACAGTGGAACTGTTAATAAGAGGGCAGAAAGGATGAGACATCCAATTGCTATTTCCATTCTGCATTAAAAAAAAAAAAAAAGTCTCATGTCCTACCCTTTGATGGAGAAATGCTTCCCACTCCAACAGTAACTAAGGACCTAAGGACTATGCTGAATGACAACTTAGGTCAGTTGCTTGAAAATTAGCATGATCACATAAACTCTACTGATGACTTTTAGAGCAATTTTCTGCTCTAAGGAGAGCAGTTATGGAGAAAGCAGCTCATTGGACCATGAACATTCATCCTCAGTATGTCCTGGAATACAAAGGAAACTCCACAGGACAGGAAGAAAGCAAATGTGACAACCTTCAAAAAAGCATTAGTGTGATGGCTGAGACATCTGCCTGTCAAATCGACAATAATGCCAGAAAAAAGGATTGCAATGACTTCAAGGGGATTTTACTAATAAATACATAGTATGACATATGCAATGTCAGTCAATACAGATTTATGACTAAGATGTCTTGTCAAACCAGTTAATATGATTCTTGCAAATTGTAAGTTTGACTAAGTCTGAAAAACACGCATTAGAATCAGATACATCACAGACTTGATCCAGCAGTTTATCAGGCCATGGTCTGTATCACAGTCAACAAAAATGTAATGAGAGAAGGCTCTTCAATCTATCAGGATACAGTATCATGAGTGCTATTGGTCAGAGGCAAGACATATTGAGACAGGACAAATTGTTAACGGTGAAGGTAATTAGTAAACAACAATCTGACATCAGTTGTCTCGGAACCAGTGCATGTGTATTATCATATTATACAGATTTGTCTCTCATGCTCTTAAAATTTACAGAGAGAAAATATCCTTGCATGGTACACACTGAAATGCTCCAAGTTTAATGCAAAAATCAATCAAAAGAGTATCCCACTCCACAAAAAGCTTTAAGATAGGAAAAAGCCTGACTCAAATAATATTTTCTCCTCTTGAAGCAATGGAGGAATCCAGACACCCTCATTCAGAAGCACATAAGCAAAGCTGCTTCAGATTCTGGCAAAAAGGAAGATAAATCAACTGGTTACCCCTATAACCAGCTGGACTATAGTGAGAACACTATCTTCAGGATGAAAGACTGAAGTCTGTTTTAAAAAGGCACTGAAAAATAAATACATGAAGGGCTGCACAGAACACATCAGTGCATGCCTGCAATTAGAACAACAACAGTATGAGAAGTGCAGGAGTTGCTCCTATTTTCTGATTTAATTTTTCTTTTTAATTTGTAAAAGGTAAGTCATAGCATGGTAGACTGGAATCTGCCTGTGCTGGAGTTTTCTAAGTCCAGTGGAAACCAACACAGACTGGACCACATCTGCATGGCCCTTTAAAACTAGTCTTTAGTGATGCACAATGGACTGGGAGTCTGGGGTAATGCCAGCCATCAGAAGAAGTAAAAAGGAGAAGCAAAGTTTCCTTCTGATGACAGAGATAAAGAGATGCAACTATCCATTCAGAGAGAGCTGCTGTGAGGCAGAGAAAGGCTTAGATTAGTAAACATGTGAGTGCTCAAAAAAGGTGTTCTGTTCATATGCAAACCCAGAGCTCAAGGACTACTGCAGTACGAGTGAGTACAAGCTGATCCAGTTATGGATAGAGGAACAAATTGTCAAGTTAAAACTTATGGGTAAACAGACAATTGACTACTAGGTAAATTCTGCTGAGAATTCAGAGGTCAAACCTCTCCCACAGTAACTGAAAAAATGGCTGTTTTCACACTGCAGTAGCTGAGAAGTAAGATATCCCCTTTTCCAGTGAGGGAGAACCTACCTCAAGCTACCTTGCTTCTACTGACAGGTAGATGTGAGCACACACCCTTTTCCACCACAAGACGACACCTGATGGAGGATCAGCTGTTACCCTGCAATAGTTTATTCATGTGTCCATAGCTCAGTTATAAGCCTCTCCCCAAACCTCAGAGTGGTTTTAATCAGAAAAAGTAGGCATTGTCCCACACACACCTCTAACCTCTTACTTGCCTGTTGTATGCTCCAGTCACTGCAACTGTCTGGAGGCAGCTTTGTTAGATTTTAGTAGTCCAGACTTAATCATCCACAGCACACACATTCTCCAGTTCCTTGTAACATAACAGGTTGCCAAGTTTGAGCCACAAATATCTGCATGCAACTGGCCTTACCTCGATTGTGCTGCAAGAGGACAATAGTGGGATTGACAATTGTGGTAGAAGGATAGGCAGAAGAAGACTTGTTGATTGAAGTGAAGGAGGTTGGATAGTCAGTGCCAGTGCCCAGCTGGGGCACTTCATTTAGGACAGGACCTGGGTCCTGAAAAGGAGAGCAACACATCATTAGCAGCATGCAGAAGGCTGCTACACTGGGAAAATCTGGAAAAAAACCCAACATTTTAAGTTGAATGAGAAGCATAATCATAGCAAAATTTAGTAAAAAAGGCATAAGCATGAGTGTTGCCCTGCTCCTTGTACGTACCCTGCTCGTTGTTAATGCAATTAGTTTGCTAAGGCAGTACTATAATTATTTGGTGTTGGGTTTCACAACTCCAACCCCAAAAGGAGGCACTAAATTCATCCAGCAGACTCTCTGGAACAAACACAGGGTGCCAGAAATGAGCAAATCTGGTTGGGGGGAGGGAAAGACATCTTTCCCCTGATACATACACACACCAACATTTGTTTTGAAAGTTTTCCTTTCATAGCAAGAAGTCAGACATGCGAAACTCATGCAATTCCGCAGCGAATTACATTACTGCAGCTGGTTTGGTAAGGAAGGTCTGAGGAATAAGGGTAGCACCATCACTCGGGAGAGAGTGTGACACATACCTGGTTAAAATAATTAAATAAAAAAAGAGCCCGCCAAACTGATAGATAGTAAGAAGGAGAAGTCTAGCAAGGAAGGTACTCGACATGGCTTTGCTGCTGGAGCACAGATAGCAAGCTGCTCTTGCCCTCCTAAAGCATCCAGCCCATTTGTCTGCCTATTTCAAACCTACCTCTGTTATCACCACAGCTCTGGTGGTTCTGTAGAAATACAGGCTGTGTCAGCAGGGAGACTTTAGAAACTAGTTCATCTTTGAAAAATCTCAGTCCAGGGATAATAAGCTTTCGTTGGTGGTAAGGGGAAAAGATAAAGAAGGGGCGATGACTAAGAAGGTGTGTGTCAGTTTAGGCTGAGATTTTTCAAAGCTTAAGGAATTTGAACACAGCTACCATTAATGGGGAATGAGCATCCAAACAAAGAGAGCATGGAACAGCGTGCCAGATTTTTGCACTCCCGCTACTCCACTGTCAGACTGAAATGCTGCAGGTCATCGATCTGTAAAATGTAGCTGAGCATTCAGGGGGATTTTCATGACTATTAAAAAAAAAAAGAAAAAGAAAAACAATATGCCCAGAATATTGCTCCAGAAGAATCCCTACTCCTGATCTTCCTGGCCACGTGCAACTCAGTACCCTTTGTACCTACCAGTGTCAGGGGAAAGGACTTGCAGGATCACGCAGGGGGCTGAGCAGGGACCAGAGTGAGGGCTGGCACCAGAGCTCAGAGATAATCATAATGACATTTGGCCACAACAGAACAAGCATCTACAATCTCTTCAACCTAGAGGGGAAATGGGGAAAAACAATCCTGTTCTGCTGGATGGATGCAATCCTGCTCCAAGCAGCACTGATCAGGCCATAGACATTTCCTGAGGACAGAAAAGAATTAACAGTCTTCAGAAATAAATGTCCCTAAGAAGGAGACCCAGCTCCATTTCGCTGGCCAGGAAAATATTCCAAACAATAAAACTTGGGGAGAGGAGTGCAAGTCAGGGAGAAGTATAAGAGAGTCGGGTTTGAGCTCCACTGATAACTAAAATATAAAGAACCCCTCAGAGAAGACAGATGTCAGATCAGGACTGGCTCAGCAGTCCCAGCTAAGTCATCAAAGTGGGTGAACAAAGACCATTTAAATCCTTGTGGAAAACAGCTCCATGACTATATGCCAGAAGTGAGCATGCCCAAAAATGTTTCAAAACTCTCACCTCATGAAAATCAGGTACAACAAAATTTCCACTACTCCTCTATGATTTGGGTAGCTGATGAATTTTTCTGGAACCTGCAGACAGGCTCCACTAAAACAATATCAAAAACCAAACAAACAAAAAACCCCACCAAACTTTCATTGCTGTCTGCAGTTACAAAACCCATCAATTTCAACAGAAGCAGAAAGGGCAATGATGACAACTTTTGAAATATCATCCTTGGTTGGTTTTTTTAATTCCCCCAACTCCTCCATGCCTGTTTGCTAGACCCCTATCAAGTCAGAGGGCAGAGAAAGCATCATTATGAACAGAGGGAGTTTCTGCTGAACTTCTTACTTGTCTGTACAAGCAACCATATAAAAAAAATGGTGGTTATAAGATTTCCAGTACTGGAGGGTCAGGTACTTTTTGCATCCCCTGCAACTTTAACTGAGAGCTACTTCTCCTTGTCCCTCAGCTTGGACGACTTTTTACTCAGCAACTGGTATTATTGCTTGTAGGTGATTGGATGCTGTCAGCAATCGTACACTGATTTCAGCAGGGATTTGTGTAGAGACTAGTCTTGTGGCTCCAAGTGGAACAGAAAGCCATCCCTAACCTTTAACTGGTCTGCTGTTGCTGCTTTAAATGTTATTCAAACACAATTAAGGATGCTATTAAAAGAGCCTGAAGAGATCAGTTAGTTGCAGCTATTCTGTTTATACAGAACTCATTATTCTGAGCACACCCTGTGAAGAGTCTTTAGGTGTGCATCACCTAGCAGAATTGGCACAAAGGGAGACAGTCCAATGTTGCGAGAAGTCAATAGAAAGTTGAAAGCTGCACAAGGCAGGCAACATGCATGCACTAGCAGAGGACATAAACAAGGTTTCAGTTGTCATGCTGCCGGCAGGGAGTGAGTCATCACTCCTTTCTCAAGTTTAGTATTGCAAGGAGAAAGTAATTTTAATCTGGGAATACAGATTTAGGAAAAGGGCGAGGAGGGTACTTGGCAAGCTTACTGTATGTGAGATGACTCCAGTGATTTCAGGCTTCAAGCCCCTGTGCAAAGCCCCCGTGACTGGAGGGACAAGTGAAGGTGGTGATGAGAAGAATGGCAGTTTCGGGTAAACAGAGGGTAATGTGCCAGATGCAGAGGGTGCTTGGTTATGGTGGGAACCCCTCTGGAGATGTGGGGGAATGAAATCATCTAGAGTCGGAAAAGTCAAGGGTGAGCCAGGAGAAACAGTCTCAGGGAATACGGAGCCTTGCCCAAAAGGAACCAGAGGTGGTGGTGGAGTGCTGGAGTTGCCTTCTTGCTGTCTGTCTGGATTAACCTGGAGGAGGGGGACTACTATAACCCCAGGCTGAGCTGTGGTGGTGGCAGTGGCATCCTGTAGGAAACAAGGTGTTGTTATGCAACGGGGGAGTTCCGTACTTTAGTCTAATGCAGCCATATAGTGTCATGCAAGGATGCACCCAAATTGACACAAAGCCCCAAAATTTTTTTCGTCCATTAGGGAAACATACTTCTCCAGTCTTGCAGCCCTGGTTTCCAGGAACTTTCTCAGTTTTTCACAAAAATCTTCCTTCCCCTCACCACCCCTCATCTCCAGTTCTGTGTAGCGGGGCTGAATCAAACCACAGAACAGCTCTGCATTCACCATCACTTGAGAAGCGCTAATCATCACATTACACAGTTTGCTTCTTTTACACCTCCCTAAAATAGAAAGATCCTCACCAGCCCAACCCAACCCCCTACAACCACCACACGCACAAACACACAGATCGACGTTGGCGGGGCACGCGTGGGGTGTTAAGTATTATCCAGTAGAAGTCCACGAGATTCAGGTGGCACGGCAAGTGCTCAGAAATTAGGTAGGAGAGGAATAAAGCATTAAGGGAACACTGCAATGAATTAAAGAACCGTTCACACGGCTGAAAGAAAACAAGGTTATGGAGAAAACATGTACCATTCTGCGTCCCACTGCCTTGTATGGTGGCTGTCGCTGCTGAGTAACGTAAGGCTCTTTTCTCATCCTGTCCTCTGTGGCAGCTGTGCTCTGGGGCTCTAGCACTCTGTCCCTCACAGCTTGCGAAGGTGATGACTGAGTCCAGGAGGGTTGGCCCGCACCATAACTAACCGCGTCTTTACTGAGGACAATGTAAAAGTACGGCCTGGGAGGAATAGGAGGAGGAGGAGCAGGAAGAGACTTTCCAGTATCTGTTACAGAGGAAACAATGTCGGTGGCTGGTGCCTGAGTGAGCTCAGCACCCAAACTGGTGCTGGCTGCTGGGTCATGTGCGGTGCCAGTGGAATTTTCAGATGCGGCTGAGCAAGTGCTGTTAGATAAACAAGCTACATATAGTTTGGTGACCTTTTTATCCGCCTTCGTCTCATGACTGGAATTCATTCCAGCCTTACTACTGGGATCTGCCCTGTCAGGGTTACGTTGTATGGATGATGCCTCTGACAATGAGCGACTTTCCAAGAGTGGCTGCCCAGCATGCACCTCATCTTTGGGGCCTGAAGAGGGAGAATACCCTGCTGGCAAGCCTTGCTTCCCACTGGGAACAGCCCCATAGGGGGTAGGTGATGAGAAATAACACCGTGCACTGGCGTTTGGTGATGCACGTTGCGTATAAGGCTTGGGTGCATTCAGGTACACGCAGTCCATGATGGGCACGGGCAACAGGTTGGTCACTTTAGTGTCAGTGCGAGGGCGCCATGCAAAGCTTTCCTCTTTGGGAAGAGGAGGACGGGGGGGAGCAAGGGCCTGCCCAGGCAGAGTCAAGAAGGAAGAGGGGGGAGAGAGGAAGCAGCACCAAATAAAAGGAAAAAGGAAAGAAAAAATAAATAAATTTGAAGAATTAATTTGGTCATTAGACTTGGGTTAAGCAGGTTTTAATACAGCAAGAACAAAAAGTAAATACAGTATCTGGAAGGCCAGAGCAGAACTCACTCACATACATCATCTCACACATTCTCTCCTTCTTAGCACTGCTCATGGCTGCAGGCAAACTTTACCGAGCTCTCAAGTCCCTGCCTACACACTTCTCTCTCTGGGCTAAATAAATCTCAGTGCTGTGTTGTTTTGAGAGGCCTGCAACACCCACAGTGCCCCTGGGAAAGCCTGAGTCAAGATTTAACATCCTGGCTAACTAAACCCAGGCTCATGCCTGCGTAACTAAATACTTCCCAGCACTGGGGACATTTGAATCGCAAAGCCAAATTCAGTAGGCCATCACTGCTGCATGTTAAGTGCACTGCCGAAAAGTTCCACCAATGCTAATGAAAGCAGATGTCATGTGAATACTATAGCCTGCCACAGCTGGGTAAGTAAAAAGTCAGCATTTCTTTCTTCTAAAAGCTAGTTCTTGCATTCTCTTCTGGATTTTTCAGTCCTGAAAATGATTTCAGGAAGACGAGAACAATTAAAGTTTCTTGAGGAACTGTGATCATAAGAATTTGCCTCTAGAAGCAAGATCACCAACAGAGAAATTCTAGTAAATAATAATAGTATCATCATAATAATCATAATAGCAGCTTTATTGGTTTTGGCATTTTGCAACATATAGGTTGCTAACTCCACAACTGCTTACTGACTGTAACTCCAATTACAGTGAGTTTTTTTCTGAAAGCCAAATTGTTTTGAAGTAAAATAACTTAGCAGTAGAGAGGTTTCATTTTATTTATTGCTTTGTTGGCAGTAGCTGAAAACCATAAACTACTGAAAGGCAGAGAACTAAAACACCCACCCAGTGAACAATGCTCCCAGCATTCTTGCAAATTAACCCTCTGGAGACTATGAAAGTAGGTTTTACACAACCCTGTTGTCATATCTTTATGGGCAGAGTCTGGCTAAACCACTGCTAAAACAGCCAAAACCAGAGAATTAAGATCTTGCAACAGCTTGCAACATTCAAATCTGAAAAATACCTCCTTTAAAATTCATCCACATGACAGGTTGTGGCCAGCACCCATACTTGTTACATGGATACAGACCTAAAACAGCTACTTAAAATTACAGCTGCTGTCCTGAAATCTACTGTTCTCACACTGTCCCTCTTTCCCCCCCTTTCCTAACATGTAAGGGAGTGGAGAAGTGGGTTGGTAAGTGCTCCTTCTGAAGGGCTTCTGCTTCTGGAACAGGCTCATTCCTTTTGATTCCTTAAAGACGGTAGTTTCAGTCTGGAGACTTCAGAGTGCCACAGTATTTCCCTAGGTCAGATGAAGCCTCACTTTATCACTACACAGTATTATCAGGAAATATTAATGCATCACCTGTAATTGCTGTTTCCCATTTTCTTCCATTTCAACTTAATTTGGACAGCAGTCCTTGAGACTTCTGTAAGAATTACTAAGTGCATCAGTGCGCTCTCTGTTCATCAACAAGATCAATAAGAGACTACAGGACAGCTCTAAGTATCAGGCAGTAAATGGGTCTTCATCCAAGTTGTGCCTTCTTCTACTTTTCCTTATAATTTCAGGAATGGAGTCTGTTCTGGGGCACTGCTATAGGACCCTGATGATGGCAGCAGTCACCCTGATTGGGGACAAGGCTTTAAAGGGACTCTGTTTCACACAAGAAAGCGATTTCTAATGAAGGGTTTCCTTATGAATTTTCAGACTGTTTCTGTGCAGACCGACCACCCAAAAGAAAAAGGATGAAGTCACACTTCTCTTAACAGACTGACTTAACAATTTACCTTCAGGTACAAATAACCTTTGACTTGTTGGCTTGTATCAAAGTGTTAAAACTGAAAGGCATTTCCCCAACATCTTGTTTTTAATGTAGGGTGTAACTCTGCTTTCAGCCTGCAGCAACCTCCAGGAAATAGACCAACATGAAAGACACATAAGTAATAGACGACTACTTCACCTTTTTTCTTGCAAATACCAGTGTCCTCCTCCTTCATCCACCAAAGAAAACTGTGGCATGCCTGAACACACAAGCTCCACAGTACTCCGCTGACATCAGTGTTGCCCCCATTTTAAAGGCAGGAGAAGCTGAGGCACAGCAACTTACCCAAGACTGCAGCAAAGTCTGGAGTTCAACCTAGGACTCCTGACCATGAATCCAGTGCTTGAACCCAGAAGATCACCCTCAGGGTCACAGAAGAAAGGCTTACCTGTGGCTTGCTGTCTGAGGAAAGGTTCGGACGCACACTCCTATAACCCTTGGCAGCCAGAGAAGATGGTTGGGCATCCCCATTGGCGTCAGTGTTAGATGACGACCTCCAATCATCTATGAGGGGAAGGAAAGCTCAGATCACAGAGGAGTCCCTCCAGCTACAGGATGAGCGAAAGGAGGGGACTCTTTTCTTCCCATTTTTTTTTTCCCCCTCCTTTCTTTTTTTTCCAGGCAACAAGAAATACTTCCAAGAAAGCAACAGAAGCAACAACGTAAGCAGCCAATGTCTGTACCTGTTTCTGGATTTTCTGGCTCCAGACCTAAGCATTTCACAGAAAAGAAGGATGGAAGAGGTGGGGGTGAAGAACAGGCATAAAGGTAAAGAAAGGGGGGAAAAAAATAAACCGTTACATTTACAGAAAACATGTACCAATTGAAGTTAAGAGTCGAGCTACTTCATTTCACATATAAAATGCTTTCTGACAGGGCTGCCTAATTACCATAGAGACCAGCCCTAAACATGATGCCTTCCTTGTTTCTGACCTTTGTAAACACAAGGCAATTCATTCAGAGCAATGAAGAAACAATTGTTCATTGACATTCGTATTTCAGAGGCAAAAAGGCAGCCCAGCTAGCTGCTTTCTAAAGCTTCAGCTTGACATCCAGAAACCACAAATTACTGGAAATGCAGGGACCTCGTATTCAGCCATGACACAGGTTATGAAGACATATCTATCCTTATCAACATCACTAAGTATGACTAACTGACATAAAGGACTGCCAACAAATAGATCAGGTTTTGCAGACTAAGTGCATGGCATGAATAGAGTTACAAAACTTGATGTCATTTTACAACCCAGTCCCTGCAGCCAGATGCATTGGTCTCATCACCTATTTACCCACCTCCCACTGTGCTCCTCCCCACCCCTCTACCAATTTTGCTGTTTAAGTTATATACAAAAAGCTCTTCCAGCTCCAAAGTACATTTCATAAAGCAACGGATAGAGTAAGCAAAGGAAGTATTAATGAGCTGATTTCCATAGTAATGGGCTCATTGCCACTCAGGCTGCTGGAAATTTATGAAGCCATCAACAGAAAGGAGAGAGGCAATGGTGGGGGGTAGGAGTGAAGAAACAGAGAATGGCAAGCATGAAAAGAGGGTAGGTCATGGGTAGAGCATAATGGGAGGAGAAGACAAGAGCAGAAAGCAGCACATTGGGGCTGGAATTATTGGAATTGCCCTTCCTCCAACAATACAGTCAGAAACAGTGTATGATTTGCTTTCAAGAGCAAGTTTGACCCCCTTCCCCCTTAACAGCATCTTGCCTTTGGGAGTTCATCCTCTCTGCCAGACCCATGACACTGTCCAGGTTTGTTATGCTTTGCCTGTCTCCTACAATTAAGTAATTACACGTCTGCTATTGAAAGATAGTAGAGCATTGTGGCGACACTGTCTGTCTGGGACACTATGCCTGCTCCCCTGACAACCCCAGTAATGCTACAGAGGCAGTAGCACCACTCAGCCTCTTTCTGTTCCACCTCATGCCTGGGATAAAAGGAGATGACATGGGCCTGCCATAAAATAATAAATAAATAAATAAATTTGAGAGGTTTTAGTGCTCTTGACAGCAAAAGGGAGCTGCAAACAAGTTTAAGCCAATGAGTCAGTGGTCATGAAACCTGCACCAGGAGAGAACTGGAGTCAGTCTCCCTCCACTGATCTGGTTCTTGCAAGAGGGTTTCTGACTATGCTACGAGACTTGGGGCTCTAAATCATAGCTAAAAAAAGTCACCCCAAGACCCTGGACTGACCTTACTTGAGCTTACTGTGAGTAACACATTCCAGTTAACCTTCCACTCACTTACTTTCAGGCTGCTCAACATCCTGAGGACATGGTGAAGTGATACTCTGATTCTGTTCGTAGGCTGGAGATGCCCGGAGAGTCACAGCTCCTTTTCCGCTGCAGACTTTAGTGGGATCTGTTTCTATAGGAAATGCACATGCACAGAGGAGACACATTGAAACAGATGATACAAAGCTATTAGGAGCCATCAGAGCTCTATGGAGTAATTTTAGCATGGCTGCTTCCGGGTGAATCAATCTAGTAATGTTTATGCAGATGAAGATTAGCTCTGGATTTAAAGCATTGAGAAATCAAAGCAGTTTCATATTCATGTAACTGATGAATGTAAAAGCAAGCTCTGAGTCAGTGTAACAGAGCTAAGAAAGGAGGAAAAAAAGGATGAGTGTTTGAACCAAATTTCACAGGTCCCATTTGCTTTATTTGGTTTGCTTTGTATGGAGAGGACGTACTACCAAGGATATTCTACCGTTACACCTGTGGCTCTTCTACAGGGACATCCTCGTAGTATAAAGCAGTAAGATCTGTGCGCTGAAGCCTTAAAAATGCCTTTTGTGCAGGACTGAAAGGGGGGGGGGGGGGGGGAAGACCACTAGAGGCTAAAATCTTGTAACTATGGTGAATATGATCTAAAGGCAGGGTATTGCAAGCCACCTCCTTCTCATCTCCCCCTGTTTCATGCCAGCGTTTCACCTTCTGACATAGGAACCCAAATCCCAAAAACTAGAAGGAGATTTAACATGTAACAGTTCAGTCCACCCCATGACCCATACACCGGATCATGCCAGAATCCTTGCTGAGGCCCGATTCAGCCCAGCTTCTGTGCAGGCTTACCTCTGTGCATTTCAGTCCATGGATTTGGGTTTTTTCTCCTGTCATCCTATTAAGTAATAACAAACTTGTACTTCAAGGCCATCTTCCTCCCCTTACTTAAAATCCTTCCAGAGAGTTGTTTCTTTTAAGATACCTATAGAAACACTAAGACTAAAGAGCCCCTCACTTATCCATGGTACGTCCGCAGGAAAACACATCACCTCCCTTTCTCGTGTACTACCACTGACCCTGCTGCTGCCAGCAGACTTCACTTCGACCGACCTAAACAAAGGCACTAGGCCTTCCATGACACTGCACGGGGACCCTGAAGACCTACTGAGCACATGCTGTGTTACACAAATGACAACACGATTACTTTTATTTTTATGGGGTGAGGATCATGCTATCTATGCATGGGGAGGGATGCAGCTCCTCTCTAGGAACTGTTATTATAATGAAAGTTAGGCCTTCAGACGGGACAGAGGGGACAAAAGCTGCAGCTTGTTGCTCAAACAACAAGCCAGACTGTGCAGATCAATATTCCCTAGTGATTTCAGTAAGATAATGCCCCATTAAATCCACAGCAGTACAGTGCCTATAGACCACGACAACACTAAGATTGCAAAACACAATTCACAGTCAAGGTGGCCACAATATTGGGAAACATCAATAGCACCAAATGGACAAGAGCAGTGAGGGGAAAGACTCAACGCATGTCAAACACCTGGATGACACTGAAAGCCCTCTATGCTGGAATCACTGCAGTTCAAGCTCTTATGTGGGCTTCCAATGATTTAAGGATTTCAGAAGAAGAGTATCTTCAGATCCACACTTCAGACTGGAAAACGGAAGGAATCAGAGGATACTTTCCTGTAGTTTAGCCTTTAGTTCATTTAGGCAGCCTCTGTGAGAGAAAAGACTATCCACACAGACATACCAAAGGCTGCCTTATCCTTAAAATGTAACCACATTTTCACTTACACCACACAACTGATCATGCCTTAAAGTGACCCACAAGCTTGATGAAATAGAAGGTGACTACTCTGACTGATTTTGCATGATCTAGATAGGGTCAGGGTGTTTTTGCCCAGGAGTCCAGTTCTGGCTATCACTCCTATGCACATGGCACAACACAGTTTGAGGACCCTACAGATCCACTTTCAAACCAGGGGCAAAAGTTTAAGCCCTGGAACTCCAGTTTCAGGAGAGCTGGAACTCCGAGACATGGACACACTGTTGAGAGTCACCAGGCTTGATTTAGACATCCACAGAGAGTGCAGGGTAGCTGTTCTCCAACTCTTCTATGCCTAGACTCCCTTCACAGGCACTGGAGAGAAATGGTAACAGAGTTCACTGTGCCATAAATGTCTCCATCATATTGGAGGAGAATCAAATACAGGAATCAAAGTATGGTTTTTTATTTTCATACAACATAATAAACCTGCATACTGAATCAAAACAATAAGAATCAGGAAAAAGAGTATTCTAAACCAAACAAAATTAAAATGTTTTGAAAAGGTTTGAAAATCAAATATTGTCAGACTATTTCAATTTGGGAGACAAAGGCAAATACTTAACATGTTGAATTCCCTCAAATTTAGGTGAAATTACGAAAAACAAAAATATGAATCTCTCAGTACAGAAATCCAGCAGATGGTAATAAACATGACATTAGCACTGTACTAGTCCAACAGAGCCTGTGTGTGACTGATTAGGAGAAACAAGCAGTATCAGCTAGATTAGTCTGACTGTCCACATCCAGCAAAGTAGAAAAATAATCATGTACTTTTAGTGGGAAAACATGTGCTTGGGGATGGGGTGACAGAAAACTTAACATCTTTATTTATTCATATAAAGATTCAGTAAAGTCAGTGCATGTACAGGAAAACAAAACCATCCCACCAAGGTTGAACTATGCTTGAACCTGTAAAATTCGATCTCTGACATCCATTACTTTCATGAAAACTAAAGATACATGGAAAACACTCTTTGATTCATCAGGAGTTTGCTTCAAAATGAGGCTGTAATAACAGTATTATTCATAATCAAGCATTAGTAGAAGAGCTTACAATGATCCCAGATTCAAGTAGACAAAATTATGTCTGCAGAGGAGCAGCATAATTGACAACAGTGTATTGTGCCATCAAGAACTAACTCTATTACCTACTGAAGAAATCTACAGCTCTGGAAACAGTGAGAAGAGGATGAAGCTGAAAACTAGCCAAAGCGTGTGGGTGAAGCGGAGAGAGAGAGAAAGAGAGAGGAGAGAAATTGATGGCCAACTAATGCATGGCTGGGGGAGGAAGGAAGAAGATACCTGTAGGCAGCGCTAGGTGAGGAGAACTTTTCACTTTCTTCACAGGGATAATTTTAACGGCAGAAATAGAGCGTGTACATAAAGGGACGTCAACAGCTGCAAACACAAAAGTGTAAATGGCACATCCAAAAAGGGGAAGAACAGAGTTTGGGAAGCATGCCACAAAATTTTCTAATGTACTTGGAGACACAATAGCAGGAAATTTCAAATACAAAGCAGTCCAGAGAGCAGTGATGCAACTGTTAAAAATATCCCTTCATTCGCTCTAATTCAGGACGTGTCTGGTTTATGCAGCGTACAGAACTGCTTACTGAACTGACTAACTGCTGACTGCCATTATGCTGCAGGCACAAAGAATCTGGAAGCATTAGTTTTTAGAAGCCATCAAAAAATTTTAGTGTAATCATTTAGCTGAGACACACTACATGCAAAACCAAAAATGTTAACATTAATATGGCTCAGTTAAAACAAAGTGGAAAAAAAACAAGGATTGAAAGGTTGAGAGAAGAATGTTAAACTAGTCACATTACATGAATTCTGGATTTTATGGCACATAATTTACAAGTTCAGTAACAGAAGGAAGTGAAACGTGAAACAATCTTCAAAACAGTCCCATGCCAAAGGGACATCAAAATATCAATTTCAGTAAAAATCCTTCCATTTAAACAGTAAATTGAAGAGATTCCTACTAGACTCCATCAGCTAGCACACTAATTATAATAGATACAGTAACATAGGGGAAAACTATACACAGCACTGTGCAAAATTCTAGCAGTTGTTACAAAACTCCAAACCAGCTGGTACGTTCTCTCTCCAACTCTGTATTGCAGCTAATGTGGAACTCTCTCTGAAAAAAAAACTAAACGGGGAGGGAGAGGTGGAGTTAAAAAAAGGCAAAGGCAAAACTACTCAGAGGTGAAGCTCTACAGGATCTGCCAAGATAAACATCATGTAAATCATGGCTCCTCCAGAATAGCTTGAGTTATACTCTTGATTTCTGCAAAGACAGGATTTTCTCCTTTATCACCTGTTAGTTTTCTGCACGTATTAACTGGAAAATGCTAGATGCCTCCTCACATTCCATGTCATCTCTCTCAGCTGGCAAAATTGGGAGTAACAGGAACCTCATTTCTAATACTTTACACACTAATACTGAGCACGGGGCCAGCTTGAGGGAGGCATTGACATCAGGGTGGTGTGTACACCCCCTCTTGTGGCAGATCTTTCTGGTCCCTGGCAGAACTGGAAAGTACAAACTTCACCAACTGAGAAAAGGGCTCTCAAGCAAAAGGATGGGGGAAGAGCTTGATGGATTTTTTAAAAACATCTCCTAAAATCATTAGTTTTTAATTTGATGGGGTTGGTTTAAATCTTTTTTTTATAAAAGAGGAACCCAAAGGAAAGTCTGTTCTCCATGCTTCCCCCTGAGCACTGGAGACCTTGTAAATACAATAGATCCCAAATCCAAATAGCCTGTGGTTTAGGAAACAACCCTAATTCTGTTCTGCTCTGTAACTAACTGAATTCATCCATCCACAATGCAGTCAAAATACTAACCACTATAAAAAAAAAACATCAAAGGAAAAAAAAAAAAAGGAAATGAAACCAGCAGAAAACCAACCCATACAACCACATACTTTCACCCTGCCAAAACGCACACCATCACTAGGTGATACTGAATGCTATAAAGCACATTGCAAACCTGCCAATGTTAACATGAAGACTGGTTTGTTCAGATAAGTTTGGGTTTTAAATCCTTGTTGCTAATAACAGTTTCTGGGTTTTTTTTTTTATTACTTAAATGGCTAGTTCCTGCCCTTTAATCTTGCGCTCAAACCTTCACTTCCCACTGATGTTAACAGGATTCACACACAGGCACCCACAAACCCATGCTGTCTAAACACACTGAGAGATTGATTCACAGGTGCTCACAAGTACCACAAGTAGTGCACAGCTTTCCTCAAAACAGCACTAAAAACATACAAAGAGGCCAATCCAGCCTGCCACCTTTAAGAGACAAAGACGACTTGTTCAGTTAAGAAATGCTGCTGCTGGCATAGTGCAGCACAAGGCTCTTCTTGTATCAGTCGCCAAGCAATCTTAATTTGGAAACCCCTGCTGCAGTAAATATCCAGGGAAATCAACCACATCACGCAGCTGACATGCAGGGGGAGCTGCAGAGATGTTTCCGAAGCTCTTAACCTACCTCTTTCTTGTCCATTGCTGCTCAGCCCATTGACAACAGTTTTTGCAACATCAATTTCTTCGTGTTCTGCAAGATAAATGAAGAAACAGATTACTTCTGGGTTAAAACCTCTGCACCCGAATTTAACCTCTGACTACGAGGGGATGCCATGGGTCAGCAATATTTGATTCAGGAAAAAGAAAGAACTACGATCTCAGGAGATGTTGTTCGGAGACACAAATCTCCCACGGATGACACCCCTGTTTCTCCTTTCCCTTTGCCTACCTACATCACACCCTTATTTAAACAGGGACTGTCTCTGTATACACATATGGCATCCAGCTCAGCGACAAGATTTTCAAGAGAGATTTTTTAAGTCTGCAACGTCCCCAGCCGACATGAATAAAACTGGCTCTTGTGAATTCAGAGAAACACAGAAGACAGTGCTAGGAAAGGACCTCCAAAGGTCATCTAAAGCCATATTCCTGACCCATGGCAGACAAATCTACCTATCACTGCTGACAAATGATTGCCCAACAAGTTCTTACAAACTTCTGGCATCACCCTAAACCAATCTGTTCCAGTGCTTCACAACCTGGAAGTTTATCAAAGCTTAAGCTATGTTTTTCAGACCCCGATTAGTCTCCTAGCTTTCCTCCAGACTCCTTCCAAATGGTTCACAAAATATGGTGCTAAAAACCAAACACAATACTCCAACTGAGACTTGATAACGCACTAAAATCAAGTGGGAATATTATTCCACAGGTCCTACATATGGCACTTCAGTATGGTGTCTGCTTTGTTTTCCACTCTGACTTAGCCTGTTACCCAGATGACCCCAGAAGTTCTCTTCTTCCTAACCAGCCCCCACTTCCTGGTCCCTCATTTTTCTTTGAACAGGTGATTTTTCCTGTCCAAGTGTCAAACGTTGCCTTCACCCTTACTAAAACATATCAAATTCTTTCAGACAATTTTTCAGGTAATCAATAATTTTGAATTCTTTAATTCCAAAGTGAAAGAAGCTAAAGTGACCTACTCCAGCTCGAGAAGTTTCTAGTCTTTTTTTTTTTTTTTTGTGCATTATTGAAACAACAAATGCGCAGCCTGGACACTTTTTAATATGAAGCCATTCTGCTCTTGCTTTAATAGTCAGATTCCTTGAGCTTTCAAGGGGTTTGACTCTTCTGGGAGACAGAAGAAGAGTCAAAATTGCATCAGAAACAGACATGAGTATGTCTAATAATAAAAAGGAATGACGAG